GAATCGTCGATACAGTCGGACCTCGAGGTGTGCAATGTGGACGCTGCGTGATCTTGAGATTCACCCTGCTGAACGCGTTCATCCGCCTTGCACACTGGTCACGCGACGCTCTGCAGCAGGTCTTGTGATTGGACCGCTGCCATTCAATTGTTCACGAAGCTCTGCCGTTTGTTGATTTGTTGAAACGATCTGTGGCTGAGATGAGGTAGCGATGCTAGAGAGGGGGAAGCCAGCCCATACGCCCGCTCATCCTCATGCATCTATACATATCAACGGCACACCATCTTCAACATTAACACAAATATAATAATCACGAAAACTGAATTTCATTCGACCTCGTTTGAGGGTTTGTCGCGTGTCGTGCGTGTCGTGGATAGGATTTCGCTCAAAATCAAATTCGTGATTGTTGGAGATTCGTGATTATTATTGAATCTGACCCGCTTGGCGCGGACGCGGCGGCGGCGCGGATGGCCGGCCTCCTCCAGCAGCGAGGGCCGCGCGAACGGAGGAACCCCTTTCCGAAGCTCAGCTCCGATCGGCCAGCACTTAATGCTCCATCGGGTCGGCTAGCTGAGAATGCACGCAACCTCCACCACTTTTCGTGCGCCCATCATCCCCGTGGCCTATGCAACTGCAGACTCGGATCAGCAGCACAGCTGCACAGCAAAGATCGACACTCGTCTCGTCGGACTCGACTTTTGGCCCTCAAGTGCGGCGAATTTGCGTTTGGGCTGGCCGATCGGACACCCGGGTCAATCGTTGCGACTAGTCGCATGCTGCTAGGATCGACAGCATACGGATCTCTGTTGCGCATCGCGGCATGGGTCTAAAGCGGCAATTCGATGGTGCCCATAGGGCAAGCGAGGAGAAGAGAGCGGCGGCACCTTCGCACCAGAATCCGAGCGCGAAACCGAACCCGAAGGCAAAGTCGACACCTTTGAAGAGGGCTACGGCGGATGGAACGTTGAGCTGCGCAGAGTGTAGAAGGTTAAAGTTCAAGTGCGATAGGAGGTGGCCTTGCAGCAAGTGCAGAGAGAGAAATTGCGCTCATCTTTGTCCCGACAACACTCTCGAGACACGCAAAGTGAGGACTTCTTCTGCCAAGTATGTATGCACTCTAGTATCTGCTTTGCACCCGGCAAGACGCCGCTGCGTGGTCGGCACTGACTTTTCCACTTCATTTCTTTTCTAGGACTGATGACGCTCTCTTGCAACGGATTGCGTTGCTGGAGAAGACGGTCGAGCGCTTTGTCGGCGGGACAGGCGATGCTCGGCCTGCGGCATACGGGGGCGTCAGTCAAGATGCGCGACAATCGACCACGCTTGCCTCCAACGCGTCGGCGCGTCCACCTTTGACTGGGCCATATAGTGCTGATGAGGAGCGTATGCAGCATGCTGCTTTGCACTCGCTTGCCGATGCGGCCATTCAACCGAGAGAGAGCGCTGAAAGCTCCTACGCCACCTCGACCATCAGCCCAAATGGAGGGATACCCACCTCATGCCAGTCTGCTGGACCAGAGGCTCTGGATAGCCGCGGTCGTGGAACGCTTGCTCTATCGAGGGACGGCAGGACGTACTATGTCGGTCCCAACGCTCAGAGCCTGTACTTTGCCCGCGACACTCAAAGACAAGAAGAATCCGACGTGTATACTCGACCTGGCAGTCCTGTGCCGCCAGTTGGTAATGCGCTCGGAGCACGGGGCGAGCCCGTGGCGAGTCCGTACGAAAGTGAGTAAGACCAAACGCCGTTGGGTGTCAGAGCCGCGCAAACACTGACCGAGAAGACTGTGAATGAACACTTTGCAAGATGACCCAGGCTCGACGATGATTGGAACTTGGACGACACCTGGCATTTGTTCGCCTCACTCTTCCTCTGCCATCATTGCACATCTACGACCACAATTGCCCAGCCGCGAGCAAGCCAAACATCTGACGGACCTCTACTTTATCAACATGATCATGTGGGAGCCCATCAGTCGTCAAGAGTACGACCAGAGCATTTTCGACTTGTTCTACGCCAATACAAGCGTCTCTTGCGCGCTCGAGGGGAACGTAGAAGTTGATCGAACTGATCAATCAGCTCTTCATCCTCATCGTCTTGCTATTCTCTTTGCTGTGTTATCCATAGGAACCATCTTCGATGTGCGGTCTGCTGCCGAGCCCGAAGCCAGTCGAGAGTACTACAGCTACAGCTGGGCAGCCCTCTCCCTTTCCAACGTTACCGAGGCTCCTTCTCTCGAGGCGCTCATCGCGCTGCACCTCATCGGTTTCTACCTCAATTCCAGGAGAGGTGGTCGATACGTCGAGAGCTACTGGGGCATCAGCGGTCTGGCCATGAGACTCGCTATAGCCATGGGTCTTCACCGCGATCCCGGTACTTGGAATCTGCCACAACCGCTCACCCAACGCAGACGCAGAGTATTTTGGGAGCTGTGGTCTTTGGATTGCTTCAGGGCTATCGCCTTTTGTCGACCTCCTGCCCTCTTTGCTCACCATATGGACGTGGAAGCGCCGCAGCAGTGGGATATGGATGATCCCTTTATCACGGCAAATGGTGTCTTTCACGCCATGAAGTGCAAAATCAACATCATCAACAGCGGCATGCTAGATCAATGCTTGTGTTCCAATAAAGCAGAGTACACGTGAGTTGCCCAGATTGGGCCTAATGTCGGGGGTTTCAAGTCGCCACGTAAAAGATCCCGAGCCTCACGTAATCTTGCGTCTCGAAGCGATATTCTCAACTACGACGGACAGTTTCGTGCATGGCTGGATTCGACGCCGCCGCAAATGCAGCCCACGGTAGTCAGACCCAAAGGCCCCAGTCGTGAAGACGAAGCAGCATTTCTAGCAAAGGCTGAGCGCGACAATGCCAGGAGAGAGGCAGAGATGTCCAGCTCTCAGCCTGCTACGATCGAGACGATGCGCAATGACTTGCAAGCACACGTCCACGTCTTCAACTGCCACCAGTCACTCCTGCTGCTGCACCGGGCTTGGTTCGCAAGGGAGCTGCACCGCCTAGATCGAACGCAAGACGACAGCGCACACGCTTCAAAGGCAAGACAGTCAGACTCGGATCCCCTCACCTCCCCATGTGCCAAGTCCATCACCACCGTGCTCGACGCAGGGGCCAGCATCATCGAGCTTGTTCGATCGGCATTTGTGCAGCATACCTATGCTGTCTTGCGACAGTACTACATGTGGGTCGCAGCCTTCTCCGCAGCAGCGGTGCAGAGCTTGTGGGTGGTGCGCTGTCCTGGGCATCCTCTGTCGAAAGCGGCGCTTTTGAGCCTCGAGCACGCAACCAATCTCTTCACTGCGGGAGCTCGACTGCACGAAACGCTGTCGAATCCCTTGAACACGCTGCGTCGACTACTGCGCAAGGCTGATCTGGCCATGGCTGTGGCTACTGGTAGCATAGCCCTGCGCAAAGGATCGCTGCGTGCAGTTCACGATGGCCAAGAGGAGGATGGCGATAGTGGTCATCGCACGCGAGGAACAAGCTCCAGCGATGGGGAAGATGGTGGTGAGCTCGACCTCGTTGGCGAAGAGACTAGGCTGCTGTCCGACCGTCGAGTTTCGGATTCGAGGGCCGATTATAGCCAGCAACTTGGACTTCGAACGGGCGCAAGGCGCATGCCGACTAGCAAGATGGACGACGAAAGCAGCCGTAACGCTGGTAGAGGCTCCCTGCACGAGCTGGTTCCCACAGTGCCCAAAGGCGATCCTCGCTCTGCGGTAGACACGAGTCAAGGTCTAGCGACCCTCGCTTATCCGCTCGAATCACTGCACTCTTCTGCTCAAGACCCCAATTCTGGCGTTTCGTATGCGCCCATTGATTTTGACGCGGAGAGCTTCGCGGGTCTGGACGATGCTGGCCAGTTGCTGAACCTCCTTTCAAGCGGCTTGCCTTGGGACGGCTGGGACTTTCCCCAAGTTGGTGCGCAATTTTGAGCCTTGATTCGCTGGAAGACCCAAGCGCGAATGCAAAAGTAGTGTCATACCCATTGTAGCGCCACGTAAGCACGACTCTATAATCGACCTCCTGACCATCAAGGCAAACGATGTTGTACTTTTTGTCGTCTGACGCAATTGAGCGATTGATCAACTCATCACAGCTCGACGCTTGTCGCGCTTCCAGCGTGGTTCGAGTGGCACGGTCTTGTGCTCTCGCAATTCGTCGCGGTCCATGCCGCCATGACCTTCAGCCCAGCATTGGCTGCAGTAGGGATCAGAGTCGCATCCTACGCATTGCAGTGAGGCATCCTCGTTGCATATACCTTTGATATTGAAGGAGCGATAGTCATGGACCGCGGCTGATCAGCTCGCTAGCTTTCTCCATCAGCAGCACCTAAAAGGCGTTGTCTTGAAATACTCACAACACCAGCCTTCCATGTCCTCCTCCTCTTCGTTCTCTTGCTTTGACAGTCTGATGTTAGCACCCTTGCTTGGCCCAGTGCCAGGCGCAGAGAGCTTCTTCGTGTCGAGTCTGGCAAGAGCGGAGAAGCTGCTCAGGTCTCTTCCTGGATCAATGCCGTGTCTGAGGTGCACGTCCTCAGACGTGGCATCCGGAGGAGGATCTCGAGGCACGGTAGGAAGCGCAGAGAAGATATCCATCGGTACTTCTGGTAACGCCCAAGATGGTCCTGATGCTGCTTCGAATGACGGCGCTCGGTCTGGGTTGTATTTACGACCTTTGGCGGTGGAAGAGGACGTCGAAGATGCCAGAGGCGCGCTCACCTTGGTTCGTAAGGCCTGAAAACGCTGCAACAGATCTGCCGGCGCTGTGTCTTGACGTGGCGCACTGTTTTGTGGAAGCTTCGAGAGGTGGCTTGATGAGTTTGCCTCGATAGGCCCTAGCGATGGCGATGAAGCCATAGCAGCTGCCAGTTCATCCTCGAGACCGGTCAAGTCCCCCGCTTGGTCGTAACTTGCTTCTTCTCTCCCGCTTGCGGGACCGCGCTGTAGCATTGGGAGAGATCTCTGCATCCTTTCTAGTGCAGCTGATGAGCCTCCTGCAGACTCTGCTTCCGCAGTGTGCTTCTCACCGGCCAATCCAGAGGTGGGACGGGCCTGTTGTAGTGCTTGAGGTGGTTCATTCGACGGCTTCAGCAAGTCGCCTCGAGATCGGAGGTCGTTGACGGCTTGCTGAGCTTCGCTAGACAACGCTTCAG